CATGGTTTTGATTCGCCGAAATGGACAGATGTTATACCTGGCGCGCTCCTGATCGTTAGTTAAAACCACAGGGAGAATTAATTTTAATTCTTAGCAGCGGCGGCCGCATTGGTCGTGCAGCGGACTGCTGCACAACCACTAATTAACCAACTAATTAACTTCTGCACCTTTATTTCCTCAAACTGCAGGCTCCTCTTTTTACACTATAAACAGATTAACACATTGACAACTCTGTAGTTTTCTCTGTTCTGTACTGCAAATTGGAATTAAAGGCGCCATTTCTACCAAAGGTCTGGACAGACTGGCCACCTGTCTAGGGTGTATCCCGCACCAGCACCTCCCGACCCCACTAAGGGACAGGGTGTACAGAAAATGGAAGGATGGATGGATTTCTACCAAAGGTTGATAATGCGTTTTTGAACCAGATGCTTCAAAGCGCCCTGTCCATAATTCTTCAACACACTGTCAGCTCCCTCTGTCAGTCAACCTATATAAATTCATTTTTGACCATTATTGCAAGTTTGACAAAATAAAACATATCAAACTTTGTACTTCTGTGGCCTACTGAATTGTTTTTAATCAAACTGAAATATTTGATTTTCTAGTGCGTATGCGGACACTGAATATGCCAAGGGCTGAAGCCCTAGAAAGACATCTCCCTTTGCTTAATAAAAGACTCCAGTCATTTTGTTTGGTGATATGCTCACATCTTATGAACAAATGCATTATGTTTATTTTAAATGCATTATTTTTGCAAACACATTTATAAAGGAATAAAGTAAAAGATTAAATAGCCTTTTTTTTAAGTAGCGTACTTAAGATATGTTTCTGTTGAATATTTACGAATCTCAGATTTCCGACATGTGTCCCCCCCAATTGTAAACATATTCCTACGCCCTTGATCAGAATATACCAGTTATTAAATAAACGCTTGTCAGCAGATTGATGAATATGTTTAAATATCAAATTTTATATTTATTTTTAAGTTTGTAATTTATTTGTTTGTAACTTTAGTAATTTGAATTGAATAATTAAATGTGTACAAACCCTGTAAATAACTGACTTGAATAACTACTTTCACCATTACTAATGTTTTGTTGAGAAGCCAAACTGTTGAGAAATAAATCATTTTTTGTCTAAATTGTTATCCCCTTACTGCCTGATTTTATTTGCAATTACTGTATATATATATATATATATATATATATATATATATATATATATATATATATATATATATATATATATATATATATATATATATATATAAACATAATACAGGAAAAAAATAAAAATATAAAAACGAAAAAATAAGTTAAATATTGGATCTAGATTAAGTAAAATTTAATTTCTAATAAATCATGTAATAAAGATAGATGACTGAATAAAAATAAATATTTTTGTCTTTTTTTTTCTACAGGTCAAAACGGCATGTGCTGTCCTGCACAACATCTGCCTGGGAGCTGGTGATATCACCGCCCCAGAGGATGACATGCCAGAGGATGAGGAGGGGAGAACGTGTTGGAGGCAGTCAGTGGTGCTCCATGGAGGGACCAGCTGTCTGCCAAGGTGTCTGCCCCTGGAGGAGGGTCTACCCAACCACCATTACATTTAGATTGTCACATTTTAGCACATTTTAATCACATTTTAGCTGTTATTTCAGGGTAATGAAAACAGTTTTAGTAAAGTCATTATTTTCTTCGTCATTTTAAACCTTTTTAGTAACATGGCAGCCGTCAATTGGGGCAGCTGTCGATTGGGTCAGCCCTGCAAACCCTGATGGATGATGTGGTGAACAGTGGAGAGAGGCACCCCCACCCCCCAGATGATGTCCCACTCACAGTCAGAAGACTCAAAGGTCATCTGTGTGGCATCCCATCCAGTCCAGCAGCACCACCAGGGACTCCTGCTCAGTCACAATTGTATATATATATATATATATATATATATATATATATATATATATATATATATGTTCTCTAGTAATATTTACTGTATATCTTCTGTAAATAGTTGTAGTAAATTTTAAAATCTAATTTTAATACTTAAAAATGTTTTTAATAGTTTATTGTAAATACTTGCTTCTCTAAAAATAAACTGATGTCACTGAGATGTTGTTCTAAGTTTACTTAAATTATAAAGAAGTGATGAAACAGATAAAAGACTTTAAGAACACACCGACAACAATAACTTTTATAAACAATTTAATAATTTAATTTAATAACAGCAACACATAACCTGAACTTGTTAAAAAAAAAAAACACCAAAAATAATAATGTCTGTCCACCATCCTCTCCAATAAATGAAATAATCTGTCCATCCTATCCCGCTTCCCTCTGCCATCTGATATCCTCCCTGATTAAATCCACCAACTCGTCTCTCCTTCTTCTCTTGCTCCTTTCCCTCCTCTCTCCTGGCCTCTCATCCTCATTCTCTTCCTCATCGTCAACCTAGTGCTGCTCAGCCTCTGCAGCACCTGGCCCTGCTGTGTCCTCAGGGATGGAGGCAATTAGGACAGGTGGGGCATTAGGGGGCCTCTGTCCTAATACCTCATCCATGAGGACAAACCAGGGCCAGGTGGCAGCAGTAGGCTTCCCACTGACCCCCTGTTTTCTGTAGTGTTTCTTTAAAGCTAGAAAAAAGGAAGGTTTCATGATTTGGATGGATTAATGAAATTCTACAGAAAAAGACTTTGGAATGGTAACCTGGAGATTACTTTTTCAAGCTTACTCAAAATTAACATGAATATAATAAATGTAAGATGTAATTTCCCTACACACAAACACACATATGTATATATATATATATATATATATATATATATATATATATATATATATATATATATATATATATATATATATATATATACATACATATCTCTCACATCTTCAAACACAAGTTCGTTTTGGCACAAATATCTCGCAAGGAATGTGACAAAAGTCAGAGCGTGGTGTCAACGTGCTGTGTCTCGCGAGAGCGCGTTTGTGTTCTTGAAGCAGCAGATTCAAGAAGCTGTAATGTAAAATTGAGGTTGTAATGCAAGAATAATTACAAATAAACTATCAATAATCATTTGTCAGCTGTAATTTTATTTGTGTAAAACTATGTGAACACACCAGTAAATAGTTTTTTTGTGCATTCACATTTAAATCAGATTTGAGTGAAAATCCTCTTCAGGTGAAGATTGGACTGACAAGTGTAATTTTTTTTTACATGGTCTTGCCTGATATTTCTTTTAGTGCAACTTCAAATTCAGTTTGTGTGTGTGCGGTTTTTCTTTACAGCAGAACATTTTGGCATACAAGTTCAGATTTTTGTGGTACAAATTCTCACATTGCATTCTCAAGTTTTCACATTAAATTCACAAGTTCGTTCATTTTGGCACATATTTACCTTCATACAGAACATCTCCGCGGGGGTTGTGGTCGCGCACAGACACAGATTTGACGGTTGCAGAGGCTATGCATCAGAAGCATAAATTGGCCTTTAAAAAGAACATATACCTTAACTTTATAATTTAATGTGCCTTTTTTTAGCTTCTGGTGGCCGAATAAATTTAACATGACAAACCAAATTCAGCTCAAGAGCCCAAGTTTCACAGGTGTGCTCTAAAAGTTCATCTGCACATGAACTTGAAAATAACTGGTCAACTAAGGATTACAGAGAGCAAACAGAGATAGGAAGAAAAAATGTATAAAGAAGTAGAGCTTAATTCCGCGGTTCTCAAAGTGTGTGGCGCGACCCACTGGTGGGGAATTGAGACGTGACAGGTGGGGCGCGCCAAGTTCCGGTGTGTGTGTTGTGTGACTATAAATGTAGAACGTGTGAGAGCAAACTGTCCTTATAGCTGTATGTTGCCGCTTTTTAGACCAATCAAACCCCCAAAATAATCATTACTAGCCTACATGCAGTCTAATTAAAAGAACATTAGATATGAGAAAAATTTCACCTGGAACTGAAGTGCCAAAATAATGATTGACGTGACGTCAGCATATTATTTGTAACGGAATAAACTTTCTCGCCCCAGTGTTGCCAACTCAGCGACTTTGTCGCTATATTTCAGACCCCTCCAGCGACTCTTTTTCAAAAAAGCGACTAGCGACAAATCTAGCGACTTTTGGAGACTCTTAAAAGCACGTATCGTTCCTTTTCTTGTCCTCCAGCGGCAGGTGCTGCCGTGGGGCGCCTCCTCCCTGCCAACCCCCTTCTCCCCCGCTATCGCAGGAGTCCCTCTCAGCGCTGCAGAGACACAGCATGTTTACCCTCAGCGTCCAGACTGCAAATAAAGCGCACATGCGCCGGGATTGACGGCGCAGGTTGATCATAAATAACTGAATTTGAAATATTTTATCTTAAATGAATAACGGCGTTTGATTCACACAGCCACATGTTCATGTTTCTGGTTTGGAGTGGAGAGGGAGTATCCACTCATCGGGCAGAGAGCTGTGTGCATTCTTCTTCCCTTTGCCACATCATATCTCTGTGAGATGGGCTTTTCAGCTGTTGCTTCACTGAAAACAAAGCATGACTTGAGAGTGGCAGTATCAAGCCTGCAACCCCGTTTTGAGAAACTGTGCAATGCAAAACAGGCTCATTGCAGCCACTAATGCAGGGATAAATAGACCTGTCTTGCCAGATGGATTTCACTTCTTTTCTTTTATTAACAGATTGCAGAGTGGCACTTTATTTTTTTCTATCTTTGAGCTTGACACAAATTTTGACACAGCTGCATTTTTATTTTCTTTATTTTTGAGCTTGCTGTTTATTTGATGTAGATAGTTTGTATTTAGATACTACTTTTTACTTCAATAAAATTGGAACATTTTAAGATTGTTTCATATTTCATTAGCATTGTGTTGGGGCGATGGGGACAGGTGGGGCTTGAAAATTCCCCCTTGTCCAAAGTGGGGAATGACAGAAAAAGTTTGAGAACCACTGGCTTAATTTAAGTACACAACAGATAAAGAGGGCAGGGTGTTAGGAAGTGGATGGCTTACCTTGTGGCCAACAGCAGCTCCGGCTCTGACCAGGTACTTCACTGTGTCCAGATGGTTGTTTTCACATGCCACTATCAGTGGCGTTCTTTGCTCCTCATCAAACACCTCCAGGTTGGCCCCAGCCTTTGTGCATACATGGGCGCACAATCCCATTAACACTATCTCACATGCAAGGCAAAATTTCAGGATTATAAGCCCTCAACAATATGGACTGAAGAAATTTTAGTTAACAGATTTTCAGTGTAGGACTTCTTATGTTTAGCTTAGAGACAGGTGACACAATAATCTGTGAAGAATTTGAACCATGCTGCGTGGTTTAAAGCTTGTGCCCAAAGCTTGAACATACCAAAATTACTTTGCCAATTAATAGTAATTCAGTTTAGTTTACTTATATTGTGACAATACACAAGATGTCATCTTAAATCCTACATGCTTGCAAGTGGTTCCATTTTATAGAACAGGCCTTGTAGTATTTTTTGGTGATAAATATTTCAACACTGTGTCTTTTTGCAGAACGTAATCCACAACAGTTCAAACGTGTAAAAAAAAAAAAAAAAAATTGTGCTCATGCAGAACAAAATACCCCTTTCTGGATTCCATTTGTTAGGCATTCAGTACAATTCTTCAAGCTGATTGGCTACCTGTCTCCCATGTCAAGTTTTTAGCAGTAGCAGCTGAGACATGTCACATTTTTTTTTATTAGTGATCCAGAGTTAACTATTAAATCAAACTCTTACCAAATCTGGTTTGGAGGAAAGCACAAACATCTTCGCAGCCAGAAAGGCAAAAATTGTGTTCTATCTTAATCTAGTTTTTTGCTGCAGCCATTTGCTCTGGTTGGCGTGGTGATGTCAATTTATGTCACTGCATTTCATGAGTCCGAAACATTTCTGTATTAGAGCTAATGCATCTATCGGCTTCTGGCAAGATATAAATTCTCCATTACATTACTGGGTGGGTTTCCTTGCAGGAGGCTCTGTGATGGAGAATGTTTCACACAACTTCATGCCCAAAACCTGAGATATCCCCTTAAGTTGCGTTTATTGTGGCCATCTGGCTTGGTGATCTGTACTGCTGGCAGATGTTATATCTAGTGATTGCACTCAGTGCTGGTATTCTATTTATTCTCACAATGGACAAACTAAACACATTTAGGACTGACGTTTGGTGTTCATAACTTTATCATAATCAAATGTTTTTTTTGGTCTTTTTTTCCAAAGGCATGCCAATGTTTCCCATAGATAGAACTGCGTGATGGTGAGCAGGCCAGCTGACAGCCTGGGCGCAGCTTATCGAAGCCAATTCTGCTTTACCTGGACCAGCATGTGGCAGACCTCCTGATGACCTTCAGCAGCAGCTGCATGAAGTGCGGTGCGTTTTTTGTGTCCCTCCATTAAAAGGTTGGGGTCCTTTCCATCAACTGCAGAAAGCAATTTTCCGGATTAAAATTATGTTTTTAATTATCTATTATATCAGGGTGGTTTAAAGCAGGGAGTAAACATTTCACAAAGTAACACTTAAAATTTGTCCCTGTTGTTATCCTTTAGAATGAGTGTGCAAAAAACTAAATGTCTACCTGTTTATGAATTATCGAGCATCTCCCAAACCAGGGCAAAAAACAATGTTAATTTTAAGTTCTAATGATGTTATAACAATGTTGTACAGAGAAAATATGTACAAATTTGAGATGAAAAGAAAGAGTTACCAAGAAGCTGAATGACCATCTGCAAATCTCCTTGCTTTGCAGAAACATACAGCTGCCTGTTGGGGCCCTTCATTTTCTTCAGTTTTGTGCTAAAATAAAAGTAAAACATAACAGACAATCATTCATAAACTAAATGCAACTTGCTGGGTCTTGTTTTAAGCATTTGTTTGCAACTTACTTCTCATCATCAAGTGACAAGAGGACGGTCTCCAGTGACACTTTAGGATGCACAGCATCTCTTTTTAATCTTGTTAAAACAAAAGAAAAAAATATATTATTTTTGATCTGTGTGGTAACTGATTGGAAAAGCCATTTTATCTATTTATTTTTTGTCTTTAACAGTGTCCTGTCTGGCAATGTTGCAATAAGAATAATTGTCTGCCAAAAAGAGAGCCCACAGATTTTGCTTTCACAAGTGGAGCAGTACGGCTATGGTCATAGTGTTCCGCTTGATTTATGCATATAAATATCTTTATTATAATTCATCCAGGGAGTATTACAGATTATATGGACACTGCAATGTAAGTAGAACAGGAAAGGAAAAATGGAGAAAAGATGAATAAAGAGGAGATAAAATTAGAGATAATGATAAAATGTCTTCAGTCTGCTTCATCAACTGCAGAGAGAGATGTAAAAAAAAGAACAGCACAATTGTGGATATATTATAACAGATACAGTAGAGTAGCACCTTGATAGTATTGCTGAAGTATAAGTAGTATTATTTAATCTGACATGTATACTGTGGTAGATGAAGATAAGAATATGGGCTTTCTGTATGGAAGTTAAGTACCTGGAACCAAGCACCTTTAATTGTTTGTGAGGGTGCACATGTGCATGTTAAGTTTATCCAAAGGAAAATGCACAACGGTGGTTGTGAAGAGCAAAAGACACTCCCCCCCAGAGCACCGAGGCGAGCAAAGGAATCCCCAGAGTAAAGGCATCCAGGAGGGGCCAACCCCAGAAACCCGCCCCCCCCCCACCAAGAGAGGAGGATAGACGGCCCCGAGGAAATCCTCGAGCCGCCGCAAGGCCGAAGCCCCACAGGAGCTGTGGGGATGAGCCCACGCCACAGCCAGCCACCTCTTTGAACCGGCAATGGGCCCTGGGGAGCCGAGGCCCTAGGGACAACCCGCCCCCCAACCGGAACCTCCATCCTCCCCCACCGGGCCACTTCCTCTCCATCAATGCCCTAGCCACCCCTCCCCTCACCCCTTTTAGGGATAGCAGAAATGTCAGCCCGGTGTCTGCCTACCAGCAGGCCACCCAGACACCCTGAGAGGGGGGGGGGGCCCACCAGTCACATCATTGTGATAGAAAAGCCATTTTGAAGACTGAACCGGCGAACATAAAAGGAAAGACTTACCTTGTCTGGCTAGCATCCCTACTTTTTTGTGGTTGGCTGCTCTTCCTCGCCTTCAGTATATGAGGAACTACAGGTGTAGAAGTGGCTAAAGGCAGAGTGGTTACAACAGGAGGTAAAGCTTCATGGTTTGATTTGGGTACTAAGGTTGACGGATCAGGCTTTGGAAACATGACCTCCATTGCTCCACTGGCATCCCCTCCGCAGTGGGGGCAAAATCTGCAGTCATTCAGTATGGAGGCACAGTCACGATGAAAGCGGTGGGAAATACTGCCATATGGCTTACACTCCATGAAGGAACCCTGGGAAATCAGTAATAGACAATAGAAGAAGGAAAAGCATTAATTTGGCAGGACAAGTTTATTTATGTAGCACAATTCAGTACAAAGACAAGTCAAATATTACTTCATAGAGGGACTATTGTATTTTTTACTATCAGGAAGTCCACAAACTGTAGTTAAAAGTCTTCAGCTGATCCAAAATGCTGCAGCCAGAGTTCTGATGAAAATTAAAAAGAGAGATCATATCTCTCCTTCCTATCCTAGCTTCTCTTCATGGGTTTCCTTAAATTCAGAATAGAAATTAAAATCCTCATTCTCACTTATAAAGCCTTATATCAGAGTTTTGAATGTTCCTTATATTCCTAATAGAGCACTACGCTCTCAATCTGCAGGTTTAATAATGGTTCCTACAATTTCTAAAAGTTGCTCGGGAGGTAGATTTTTTCTTGCAACGGCGGCGAGAAAGAAAGTCAAGAACCATTGCCACTAGAAGAAGCATAAAGAGAAAACTTGACCGAGAAATTCGCATTTTTCAGAAAAAATGGGAAGAAGAGTACCTCTTCACCGAATTCAAAGGAAAGCCAATGTGTCTAGTTTGCTTGGAGACATTATCAGCCCTGAAAGATTACAACTTAAGTCGATATTACAACATCTTGCATAAGGTTAAATATGACAAGTACACTGAAGCTGCCAGAGCCGCTGTAGTAGCAGACCTCAAATGCAGTGAAAATGGCCTAAGTATTTAGTGACAACAACATAGTAAAAGATTTTGAAGCTGTGTCCTTATCACATCATAAAGTGACATGCAGGATTTTTGAGATCCACAATCACGTCGATATAAAAATGAAACAAGTCATGCAGAGCTGCAAATACTTCTTATTAGCTTTGGATGAGAGTACAGATATAACAGATGTTAGCAAACTGCTGTTTTTTGCTAGAACTCTTGACAATGCATTTGATGTAAGAAGAGTTACTGAAATTGGCTTCTCTTCACAACACCACTAAACGCAGCGATATATACAATGCCATTACCAGCGCTGTGAGTTATTACGGTAGCTTTGAAAAGCTGTCAGCGGTTGCTACGGATGACACACATGCGATGCCGGGAAGACACAGAGGTTTTGTGGGGCTACTCAGGCAGAGTGGAGTAAATGCCCTATACTGCACTGCATCATCCATCAGGTGAGTAGGGTCATATTTATTGTGAGATGTAGGCTACTGTAGAACTGTTATGCCATGATTACATCAAATAGAATGACATACAAACAGTATTTCTTCTAACCACAACTATTTTTTCCTAATCTTTTCAGGAAGCCCTCTGCGCAAAGTCATTGAACTTTGGCTACGTAATGGATTTGGTGACAAAAGTCACTAATATCATCCGAGGAGGGAACAGATCGCTATGTCACCGGAGGTTCATCATCTTTCTGGATGAACTGGATGCAAAGTATGGGGACTTACAACTGCATAGCAGATGGATGAGTCAAAGAAAGTGCTTGGAAATACCAGTGTTCTTGGAGAACAGCATTAGTGGTGATACAAGTGTATACTGCGGGAAGCTCAAAGATACAAAGTTTCTTTGTGACTTGGCCTTTCTGACAGACATCAGCGCGCATCTCAATCACCTAAGTACACTCTTAAAGGGGAGAGATCAAACAGTGTGTGATCTCTATTCTCACTTGACCGCATTTAAAAGCAAGCCAGACTACTTTTTCTACTCCTCCTGCAAAACTTGCACATTTTCCCGCATGCACTGAGATTCGTAAAGAGAGCCCCCTCTGCAAAAAACAAATCCAGAAATATGGAGCAGACGGCGAAAAATTACAGCAGCAATTCAACGATTGTTTCCAAGATTTCCGTGAGATGCAACCATGAACTGCGCTATTCACGGAACCCCTTTCTGCTGTGGTCAACGCGCAACCATCGGAGCAGCAGCCCGAACTCTGCAAGTTGCAGGCAGACCCGTTTTTTCAAGCAAAGCACAACGAGAGGGGAATTTCATTTTTTAAACTTCTCCGAGATTTTGCCCTCTCAATGGCCAGTTTGTTTGGGAGCACTTACATTTGCGAGAGCAGTTTTTCCACCATGAAGCACACAAAATCCAAAGAGAGAAACAGAATCACCAATGGAACACTGTTACATTTGATGTGCATTGGGACCACAAAAATTGACATTGACATCCAATCCATTGTGAGCCAGAAGGCCAAAGCACAGCTCTCTCATTAGCTTCAATTAATGTTGAGCCTCTGAGGTCTAGTTTGCTGCTATCATTGAATGTAAGGTATTGCAATAATTTTTTTAAAAACTTTTTTGTTCTTTGTTATGAATGTGTTCAAATTCCTTTTGACATATTAAAATGCATTTATATGTAGAAAATAATTGTACTGTATGGCATATAAAATTTGTTCTTATTGAGAATCATTCGTTGTATCTTTCATATCCAATTATTTGAAGTGCATGGTCATGTGGACCTCGAATAGCTCTGATGAAAAAAATTTGGCCCTCTTTATCATAGAAGTTGCCCATCCCTGGTCTATGACATCGTCACTAGTCTTGCGTTCCATTGGGAAAAATGCTATGCATCAAACTGATTGCCAGGGGGAGTTCTAGTAAGATCAGAATCTGATTGAGCTAAACACACATAACACTGAGGGTGGCTATTTTGAAATAAGTATTGCGTAATGTGATTATTCAAAGCCGTTTCATGCTTTTGTTGTCCACACTATGTGCTCCAACAACTAAACGTCTTGAACAGAAACAGAAACAACAAGACAATTTTTGAACTCCAAACCGGAAGTCTTTAACCATTCATGAGTTTAAAGCCCATGTCAAGTCGGATGTGTCCAACTTTTTAATCTCTGATCTTATTTATTCAATTTTTACACCGAGTGCAGTGTCAAGTTTTTGTTTTTTTAAACAACCATTGGGGCTACAAAGCAAAGCCCCACTTCTTCACCAGCCAGCACAGCATCTATTAAACCAGAAGAGATAAAGGATTTTAATAGGTCTTTGTTAAGTTTATAATGAGAACTAAGTTTAAAGAAAAAGAAAACCAGTGATGGGACTAACGGCGGAGTAAGCCTTCCACAAACATACTCATGAAATCACCCTCTTTGACTATGCTGTCTTTAGGACCCTCAAAGTAAATCCACCCTGCTTTACCAAACTATGGTGACAGCATCAGAAAATGCCAATTTAAATAGTGTGGTCAGCCGCAATGTGTACTAGTCATTAATAGTGCATTCAATCTTAGCAGATCACCTGCAACATGGCTTATAACTGTACATTCAATTTTGCATTTGGAATATTAGTAGATCAGAGAAGAAAAATTGTGTTTGTATCATCTTACCACCCTGCAGAATAGCCCACAGCCTGGGCAACACTGATGCTTGACCATGCCTGCTCTGTGGTCTTCACACAAAACCAATAGGCGAACGGTGTTCGAGGGTCGCATTAATTCTGGCTTCATCACCGGCCTTTGGCATTGAATCAGCTAGAAAGAAACAATCCAAGCAACAAAAGTTGTTACTATCAAACCTGCGAGACAACTTAAGTTTCCAACACCTCAGGGTCAAATGAAATAGCACCTAGTACCTTTAAGCAATATATAAGCTCTACATAGAGCTATGGCATTCTAGAACTGGTTTTCTGACAATTTACCTTGCAGATTATAAGAAACAAAAAGGCTGTTATATTGACTATTTCCAGCACTCAGAAAATGTACACGAAAATGTTGGTCACGTCACTTAACCAACACACAAAGCAACGCAAAGAGTTTCCCTTGCCAGTGTCATGGAGAAGTTTCCACAGAAGTTTCCACCCATTCTTCATAAACCTTTCCTTATTTCTAAGGGTCTTAGCCTCAGAGCATTATTTTTTATTCAGAATCCCACTCAATCTGTAAAATAATGGATTTAGGTTAATGGATATCTAGCACCAGGCTCTGAGACCCCGTCCACACGAAGACGAACCCTGGCCTAAACGCACAAATTTTTCACCAAACCAGCCTCTCATCCACACGAAGCCGGCGTTTCGGGGGTCTGTAAACGATCTTTTTTTTATTCAGCCTTCAGAGTGGGAAGATTTCGAAACGCCGTTTTCGCGTTTCCATCTTTACGCCCTAACCGCATATTTTTTTTTTTACACGCATGCGTCATAGCGTCGCCTCTACACACGCATGCGCGACCAGTATCACAACAACAATGGCGCCGTTGCTAATGCTACTCACCCTGCTGTCGGGCTTACAACAGAATCTTCTTCTTCTGGAATATCTCCAGGAAGAACAGAGCAATATCGACGACATAGTTCAGCACCTGAATTTCACTTAACCACGAAAATGGACCCGCAGGGCAACCATGTATAAATATTAGTGCACATGCCCAACATTTCGTCGCTTATTTTTGCTTTGGCACCACAGCGCCACTTACAGGCCTGGCATACATTTTGCAGCGTTTTCATGCATTTGTGTGGACGCTCACATTTATTTTACGTCTCCGTCTTTACGGCAAACGTTTTGGAAAATATCAGCGTTTCGTGTTCGTTTTGACTTCGTGTGGACGGGGCCTGAGCCTGAGCCAGGCCATTAACGACCTCAACGACTCTCATTATTAAGGGTTGGAGCTGTTTTTCTGGCTTCAATTTGCATGTTTTCTAAGCCATAATAAGGCTTTTGTCAGGCTAAAAGCCTCAATATACAATACTCAACCATAATACAGACATTTTGAATTGAGCAAGCATCCTGAATGGGAAGCAAAACATCTTTAAATTTAGAAAACAAAGTCCAGTGCTTTTTTTTTTTTTAACTTTAACTTCTTTGGAATTAAGTTTCAATTAGGTTTCAACTATCAAACAATTCGGCTGGTTGTCTGAAAGAGAGGCCTGAAACAAAACTCTTGTTGTGTCATACTATTACAAATTATGAGAATCATGCATTCTATTCACCAGTGATGGGAGTAACAGCGTTGAAAGTTACGTTACTAACGCCGTTAAATTTTTTTATTAACTAGTAATCTAACTAATTGCTTTGACTGTAACTATAATGCAGTTACCAATGCCGACATCCCGTTACTGCACATTACTCAAGTCGCACAATTAACCTTTTTTTCATGATAGGACTTTTGCGTGCCTTGTCATGAGAGAGGGGAGGATGAGATTGGCTGATGTATAGCGAGATTACGTATGTCAGTTGGGAAGGTGTGTGTTTCCGCTAGCGGGTGTTAACGTACAGCACACACAGAGAGATGGAGAGTGAGGAGGACTCCAGCAGAAAAACACTGTTTTCCTGATGGAAATACCGGTGTTATGTGGAGCTGTTTTTCCCCATCAGATATGGTTTCCCCTGCATCTCCGCACAGTGCAGGCGGCACAATTCACTGAGCAAGCGACAGGAAACGTGCATGCTTGCTAAAGGCGAGTAACAGCCGCCCTGTGCTCGTGCTACAGGGGAACTACGGAGAGCATTAACGATAAAATGTTAGCTTATATGGAGAAAGGGAGAAATCGGGACGGACGGACGGACAGATACATCTATCTATCTATCTATCTATCTATCTATCTATCTATCTATCTATCTATCTATCTATCTATCTATCTATCTATCTAAACTTCACACCTAACAGTAGAGGTATGCAGCCTGATGATATTAACACTGCATCAGATACCATTCCCCCCATGTTAAGAAAAGGGGCCCGTCAGATAGCGTTTCCCCTTATGTCATTTACGTTGAGTTGCAATAAATGAAAAACTCTCTGCAGGTACTCGTCTTTGTTGTCCACTCTATTCAGCTGGATTTTGAAACACACGGTGAGAAGGTGGGGGAGAAGGTGGTGAGGGTTACGGGGGCGAGAAACGCAAAAGTAAGGCAATTGTTACTTTTACTAGTAACTAGTTACTTTTATTGTGGAGTAACTCAGTAACTAGTAACTGTAACTAATTACTTTTTCAAAGTATTGTGCCCAACACTGCTACTCACATAAAATCAAGATTGAGACTAGCAGTTAAAAATACTTAAAAGTAGGTTTGAATTGAGGCACGAATTTGTGGAAATATACATCATGACCAAGCTCAATAATGGTAAATACCACTGACGATATGGGGGTAGTTTTTTTCTCACCAGTCTACATAGAGCCTTTACTAAATAATATTGTTGGGGTATTTTGATTACCTTTTCATCCAAGCTATCCATGGCCATGCAGGTCTGATTCTTTATAGAAGAGCAGCCATCACTGTTTGGAGTCTCCATGCGACAGCAACACAGTGGTAATTCTTCTGCATATTCCTTCTCCTCAGCCTCTCCTGCAACATTGGTGCAACATTATCTAGTCAGTAAAGCTCTAAGCATGTAATGAATTCAACACATCTCTCTTTTCATACCTGAAAGAGATACTGAGAAAAGCTCTTCCTGAGCTTTCAAGTCAAGACAGTCCAAAGCCAACTCTGTGTAATCAACATGAGTGTCTTCTAAAGATATTTCCCTCTTTACTGATGCTGTCTGTACTTCATCTTTTCCAGTGTCCTGCTCAGGTACTCTCTTTTCAGCTGTCACAGAGTCATTCTTTCCCATGTCTTCCTTTGGCTTTTCTATCTGGAGAAAAAGAGACACCAGGCTTTTAGCTAAATGAAATTTCTCCAAACAGCCAGACAATTAAGCTGAGACCAGAAGAAAAAAAACTGCAAAAACAGAAAACAGTAATATATGGGGAGTTGGGGGTGTTTTGATGCCATAGAACTACCCAGTTTGTCCGGTCAAACAACATTTGCACATTGACCCACCAAACAGCTTGGCCCAAAATTGCTGTTTGCCGAGATGCAGCTATGAAGCGGCTTAACTGGGGTCCCCTGTTGTTGACGGCAGAGAAATTTATAACAATATTCAGATAAGAACTGGAGGCTGATGTGAAGGTTAGATCGTAGATTAATGCTGCCCCAAATCATCATTCAAATGCAATTATTATTAGCTTCCCATAATATTGAAGCGAGAGGTTAACTTTGTGTTAATAGTGGGGCTCTTCATTCAGTATGAAGAGTTTTATAGGTTCATGGTTTTAAATAGGCTAGTAAACTAGCCCCACCTGCCAGAGGCCAAATCCTTTTTGCCTGCAAGTTTGATCTAGCCTCGATCAATGCCCCACGCCTTAGAACTGGCGGGCCAATCACAACGCAGAGATGCGTTTTGAACTTCTGGATACATAGCGGGCAGGGTTTTAAGGGGAATGATGACATGCTTGACGCTGGAGAAAGCACAACAAGTAAGATGGCAACAACGATTGAACAGTAGCATGCACTGCGGTAGTTGCAGCTTTTAATGGAGCGCTTCATTGAAAGTTAGTTTCCTTTTCAGTTGCTGTTGTTCAATAAATGTACATTTTAAGATCATTTCAGGCAAAAATATACTTTAAAGCGTCACTATATGGTCCATTTAACGATTTAATGTGCAATTAAAAAAACAATTTCCGAAGTTGAGAGGACCGCGGCAACCAGTAGACCTTCAAGGCTAACCACAGCCCATCTGCAGCAGCTCTCTCTTGGCATAGCCATGTGTGAAGGACCACTGGCTCTGATGGTGATTTCTTTGTTGTATTTGGCAAAATGTTCATTTGATTTGTGTTTATCTGACTTTGTCCATCATTATTCCCCCACCAAATGAAAAAAAGTAATAATTTATTATTATCTAGAGACTATTAAAAGGAGGTGAAATGCAGCCCTAGACCAGCCGGTCATGTGGTGACGTCACGAGTTTGCTTCTGTTTCAACTGACCCATATTTATACTGCACGCTCCAGTTCTCACCAAGTCCATACTTGTGTTCTTATCAAGAACATACTTGGCAAGGACACGAGTCCGTACTCACGTTCTAGGGAATTGAGAAACGTATGGAGAGATATTTGTGCCATCGGTTTGAGCGCACAGGAACCAATCCGAGCGCGCAGTGCGACAACACGCGCGCGAGCAAAACTTGAACCTGAAATATCCTTATTTTTCTTTTAAAACAGCAAATTTAAATCCATGTCAATAGCAGGTAAAAGAGATGGATGAGGCAATGATCTAATAGCTGTTTTACTGAAGTTTATTTGAGATAATTCAAGATATTTTATAGTACCATCTTCTGTCCATCAAATGGTTAGGAGTGTTGACCAAATTACTGTAAGAGTTGTTTGATTTTCCTGACTGTGTTTTTTATTTTTTTCATTTAACCGGATGTAGTATGTGGAACGAATGCTTATGTATTGATGAACTGCAAAACATATGAACCTGAAAGGGAGAAATTGAGAAGAGTAGTTGAAAGGACAGGCCAAGAATAGAGTCTTAAAAGATTATTGGGAAATAAAGGAAATATAAAGGATATTTATAGATTAAGGAAAGCATTATTTAGTTATCTACAGAATACAAAATTAAAAAATAGAATTTAATAGATGTAAAACAATGTTGCTACAAACTCATGAACAGTAGGTGGCGGTATGCACCTTAAAGTTGCTTGCGATCCGCCATGATAGAAAAGAAGAAGAAGAAGGAACGAATGCTTTCATTGGATGAAAAGAAGGTGAGCGTGATTGGCTGATAGTATGGTTAATTAACATACATTGCTGAAGTTGCGAGCGCAGAGAGGCTGTCGAAGCTAGCGGAGAAACAGCCGAGCGCACAGCTGATGTTGAGCGCGGAGAGAGCAGGTCGAGCGCGAGCAGAGACGGATTCGAGCACGCGCAGAGATGAAACTGAGCGCGAGAACAGTGTGTTGAGAGGGTTTTTCAGAGTTGAGCGCGCGCCAGACCGGTTTTGCGTGCCCGCGTGTTGTCTCACTAAGCGCTCGGATTAGTTCCTGCGCGCTCAAACCGATGGCACAAATGTCTCTCCATAGAAAAGACCAAGATGTTTTGAGTCAGCTTTGGAATCAGTTTTGGAAGGATTATACTTGCGGTTTTCATTGAAACGTGTGCAGGAAGAGGCTCTACACTCATTTATTTTTAAGAAACGTACTTGCCATTTTAACGACATTCGTTTCACATACTATTTGTTTACACTCCCCCACCAGCTTTCTGCCACTCTTACCACGTCACAGTCAGTTGTGCTCATTGGTCAGAGCTATCAATAGGCACAGACATGGTTTGAAAAACAACAGGTTGTTCTCATCAACAATCTTCCGACGTCTCATTTTGGCCAGAATAAATTACACATTGAATCTCACATTTAGTCTGGGTTATCAGGCTAGATTTTAACAGAAGGTTAAGAGAAATGTATATATATATTTTTTTAGGGTGTTTTTATAGTGATGGGATTTCACATTGTTTTTAGGCTGGAAAGACACAGATCTGAAAACTCTGGCAGTGAAAGACAGATGGAGTTGCTAGATACACCTTTAAGAACATAGTAGATAATTTTTTGCAACAGTGGAGGAGTATTTATTTGGAAATCATTATATATTTTTTTTTTAATTAGATACCAATTTATATTTGAAAATGAATAATTGATCATAACATCAAGAGGCATCACCAGAGGCGTAGCAAGACATGTTTCCCTGACAGGTGTCTTCTAACGGGACTGGTATGGTTATACCAGCTTTAACCCTCTGGCTCGGAGTCTTACTCTGTAGGCTATAGGTCTACTCTGGATAGTTCTGACCTGTAAGCTGTGATGCCTCCACATTCCTCAGCATCACTACGCTCTCCTGAGCTTAAATTGGCTGATGGTTCATATAAAAAAAACCTTTCAACACTTGATTTTCTGGAACAATCATCATTGTTCCCATCATCTTCATTATAGAATGTTGTTCAGTGTTATCCCTCTGACATCAGCACTCACCCATAGGTTTTTCTCGCAATTAATTGGTGTGGTGCTGTGGATCTACTAAATGTTGTATATTTGTGTTAAAAATAAACCTGTCGCCGGTATATTATAGTAGCAGGAACACTCTATCAGACACCCGTCTTAATGGTAAATATTTATGCTCCCAACTGGGATGATGTAGGATTTGCGCAGAGTTGTGTCTCAGCTGGCAGACCTTGACAATAACCTGCTGATTTTGGGGGGAGATTTTAATTGCGTAATGGATCCTAACTTAGACCGGTCTAATCCTAAAACACAGACCATTTCTAAAATGGCTGGCGGGTTCTTAGAATTTTTCAACCATGTTGCATGTGTGGATCCATGGCGGCCTTTCAATGCACATACAAAGACATTCTCTTTTTTCTCAAATGTGCATCACACTTATTCTAGGATTGATTATTTTTTCATTGCGGAAGACTCTTGAATTCAGTACAGGCAGTTGAATATTCAACCATTGTAGAATCAGACCATGCTCTCATAATAATTAATCTCACTTTTTGCCAAAACTTCAGTTGTCGGTCTCAGTGGCGTTTTAGCACCACACTACTGTCAGATAACACATTCTGCACCTCAATTGAGGTAGCCATCAACAGATTCCTTGAAACTAATAAGACTGATGATGTGTCCACATCACTTTTATGGGAAACCCTTAAGGCTTATCTTAGAGGAGAGATAATTGCATATTCTTCTTATATTAATAAGGAAAGAAAGAAACAAAAACAAAAGTTGATTGAAGCTATATTTGAATTAGATAAGAAGAACTCTACCTCCCCAAACGCATCAATTCATAAGGAAAGAATATCATTGCAAACACAATATAACTTAATATCTCCATCTGAAAGAGAACGACTTATGAGATCCCGAGGGTTATATTATGAGCAGGGGAAAAAATCAGGACGTCTTTTGGCACATCAACTTAAGTCTAAGTCAGCGGCACAGATTATATCTGAAATTGCAGATGAAACAGGAGGGACCACCACCGACCCCTTAAGAATCAACAACATTTTTAAAGATTTTTATTCTGATTTGTATACTTCAGAATCTTTAAAGGACACAACATTGTTCCGTAATATTTTCTTAAATCTGGAAGTCCCTACATTGTCTTCTAAACAGAGAGAATGTCTGGATGAACCAATTGAACTGAGGGAAATCAGTTTGGCCATCTCTGCGATGCAAAATGGAAAGTCTCCAGGGCCGGACGGCTTTCCGATCGATTTTTATAAAATATTCTAAAAAACAACTAGCCCCGCTGTTATTGGATATGTTTGATGATGCTATGTCAAATAGTAAATTGCAAGATTCTCTTAATGAAGCAACTACACTCACCAGCCACTTTATTAGGTACCACATGCTAGTAACGGGTTGGACCCCATTTTGCCTTCAGAAATGCCTCAATTCTTCGTGGCATAGATTCAACAAGGTGCTGGAAGCATTCCTCAGGGAGTTTGGTCCATATTGACATGATGGCATCACACAGTTGCCGCAGATTTGTCGGCTGCACATCCATGATGCGAATCTCCCGTTCCATCACATCCCAAAGATGCTCTATTGGATTGAGATCTGGTGACTGTGGAGGCTAGTGAACTCATTGTCATGTTCAAGAAACCAGTCTGAGATGATTCCAGCTTTATGACACGGCGCATTATCCTGCTGAAAGTAGCCATCAGAAGTTGGGTACATTGTGGTCCTAAAGGGATGGATATGGTCAGCAACAATACTCAGCTAGGCTGTGGCGTTGCAACGATGCTCAATTGGTACCAAGGGG